TGAGGCCGGGGGAACGGAGTGGGGACTTCTGGGTTCGAGGCCGAGGGTAGGGGCCTTGGGGCACGACCCCTTGACTTGGGGGTGGCGGGGGGTCAGTGCGCGGTGCCTCGAGGCAGAAAATTGCTTAATTCTTGTAAAATGGATCCTAAATGCCCAAAAGCAATGCAAAGGTGAGGCTTCATGCACTTTCCAACCTATGAAGTGTTCCGTAAATATTTTACAAAAACATCATCCAAAAGCCGTATCACCAAATTATGGGATAACTAGTTAACACACGAAAAACTGAGAAAATCATATAATTTGTGAAATGGCTCCTAAATTTCCCAAAATATGTCACAAAAATATTTATGGGCTCACACACAAAAACAAAGAAAATAGCTTAATTCTTGTAAAATGGTTTCGGAAGTCAACATCACTTCTTATACCTGTATGTTCATTTCGGATAATGATTGTTACCGTTCACTGAATCAGCAACAGAAAACCACAACTCATCTTCAATAACAAAACATACATACACCCCACCACCCAAAATTCAACCTGTACGAAGTGAGAATCACTTTTATTTTTATATACATCTATGCTTATAAGTGATAGGTTTATTTTCATGACCCATACTTAGTTTTATGCCAAACACGAGTTCGTTGTTTAGGTTCTACTCCGAGTCTACAGCTACCAGTAGAACTGGAGAACATTCAAATATTTATAGATGATAAGAATGCTCCGCGATAATTTTATACATACATGTATAACTTTATTTTCATGTATACATGCAAGCTTTTCCAATGAGATCAACATATTTGATGTATACTTTCCTATTTAGCAGCTTGCAAAATTGTCTTCCCAACATCTTAAAGACACAATACTGTATGGTGATGGTTGGTATGAATCTCTGCTTCCGCTTTCTGACGTCTTTAACACCCCTTAACAGAATGTGGCCAATTTATGTAATTAACTTGTCAATTCAGTAGATTAGATGTTCATATTTAGTTTACTCTTCAATTAGTCCTGAGAGTTATTGTATAGTTTTAGTATCCCTTAATTTATATTTGTGATGATTTTTTTTTTGGTGAAATAATCATAAGGTACTTATACATTGATGCTCTTGATAACAGAGGATGCCTGAGAGTATATCATAACCTTACTCTCAATGATGACAAGAGTAGTACTGAATAGGATGTACAAGTTAAACATTGAAAATAAATTGCTTCCTTGTTGCTTTTGTTTCCACCTTTTCATCATCTTACTTCAAACTGTTTTCATGTCACATATCACCTTAGTCTTTTTACTACAAGCTGATAGAATGCAACACTTCCAAAGAGCTGCATATCCCATGTCCAGTATGTAGCTAAATTCTCTCATAGCCACAGATAAATTGTTCCTCAATTTTCATAGACGACTGTTTTCCCATCGCTTGCTTATATAATTTTCTCTAGGTTATCCAACCCTTTTTTGGCAGCAGCTACTTCTGACTTTTGTTGGGAAAAACAAGTACCTTAACTTCCTAATCTATTCTAATGTATCACTTACCATCAAACTCTTCTACACTTGCATTATGTCACAATTATCTTTCACATCTTACGGGGACAAGAACAGCTGACTTTTGGGTTTGTCATAAATGCTTCAAAAGCTTTGTACAATGCTCCCAAACACACTATTATCTTAATTCTTCTATTTTACACACAGACAATGGAGGAGCAACCTCCTTTTGTGAGCTCATTTCAAATACCATGTTAATATTTGTTTATCCCCCCTCCTAGCTAATTCCTTGTACAACATTTCCACAAAACACATTATGTTAATAATTATCTAATGATGCCTTCTAATGCCCATGCCTTGCACGGGCACTACCCTGTCTAGTACTACTAGGGGAATAGTGGCATAGGCCCAACACTGTCAAAATTGGTGCTGCTGTTTTTTATTTAACTATTGAAGCAGGGGAAAAACATATTTATAGTGATACATTTTTATATTTATGGCAGTATAATTACAATATATATACTCCCTCCGTCCCATTTTATGTGGCAACATTTGACCGGGCACGGAGTTTAAGAAATAGATAAAGACTTTGAAATGTTTACCAAATTGTCCTTAAAAAA